GACCTTGGAGATTGATGGGCAAAACTGGAAAGTTACACCTGACCCGTAGACTCGATTATGATACTACACTATCAATTTCTTTGTGATAAAGTTCAGACCTACACTAGAATTCTATTAGAACTAGAGGAAGATTAGAGGAGATAGAAGAGAGAAGAAGAGAAGAAGAGAAGAAAAGAAAGGAGAAGGAGAAAACTGGTTCAAACAAGAGAGAAGTCACTCTCTCTAGTTGGCCAGATTATATTTATATGTTTCTATTAAATTAAAACAAAAGACTATTATGTCCCTACTTAAGTATGGAACACATCGCTTAACATAAACATTACACATCAGCTTAAACATAACTATAAGGACTAAACTACTCCCATATAGTTGACACTAACACTCCCCCTCAAGCTGGTGAGTATATATCATATAGTTCCATCTTGTTACATATGTAGTCCACTCTTCCCCGACTCAACCCTTTGTGAACAAGTCTACCCATTGACTTCCTGTGTTAACATATTCAGTATCCATCACTCCACTAAGCACCTTCTCTCTCACAAAGTGGCAGTCATCTTTTATATGCTTTGTCCGGATGTGAACTACAGCTTGGTTGTTACAATAAAGCTTCATTGGAGTGTCAACTGAATATCCCATCTCCTGTAGAAGATTTTTCAACCACACTAGTTCACAAGTGGTATGTGTCATGGCTTTATATTCAGCTTCTACACTGCTTCTTGCCACAACTGTCTATTTCTTACTTTTCCATGTCACCAAATTACCCCCAAGGAAAGTACAATAACTTGTAGTGGACCTTCTGCCAAATACAAAACCAGCCCAATCAGCATCAGTGTATCCCTCTATTTCAAGATTTCCTCCACTCTTGTATATCAAGCCACGACCAGGAGCTCCCTTAAAATACCTTACAATCCTTAAAGCTGCATCCCAATGTGGAACCTAAGGTTTCTGCATAAACCGACTCACCACACTAACTACAAATGAATATCTGGCCAAGTAATGGTTACGTAGTTTAACTTACCCACCAATTACTTGTACCTTCCAAGATCTTCAAACTCCTCACCCATATCACTGCTCAATTTGGTATTTGGTTCCATAGGTGTTTGAACCAGTTTGGCACCTAATAATCCTATCTCCTCCAACAAATCAAGAACGTACTTCCTTTGGCACAAATTAATACCATGCTTAGTCCTTGCTACTTCTATCCCCAAGAAGTATTTTAATTTACCAAGGTCCTTTATTTGAAAGTGCTCCAAAAAGGTCTTCAACCTATCAATCCCCAATCTATCACTGTTGGTAATGACAATATCATCTACATACACCACCAGTAAGGTCTTCCCAACATGTGAATGATGGTTGAATACTGAGTGATCAACCTGACACTGTTTCATACAAAACTTCCTTATCACTTCATTGAATCTATCAAACCATGCACTGGGGGACTATTTAAGTCCATAAAGTGGCCTTCTTTAGTTTGCACACCTTACCATCCTCCCCCTAAGCAACAAACCCCAACGGTTGCTCCATATAGACCTCCTCAAGGAGATCACCATGTAAAAAGACATTCTTGATGTCAAGCTGAAATAGAGGCCAATCATACATAGCAACTAGAGATATCATAACATGAATTGAACCAATTTTAGCAACAGGAGAGAAGGTCTCCATATAGTCAATACCATATGTTTGGGAATATCCTTTGGCAACCAATCTAGCTTTCAACCGCTCTACACTACCATTAGGTAAATACTTAACAATATATACCCACTTACAACCTACAACATGCTTACCAGGAGGGAGGGTGGTGAGATACCACGTATGATTATGAGCTAAAGAAGAGAGTTCTTCTTCCATTGCATGGTGCCACCTTGGAGAGGAAAGGGCTTCCTGGACATCTGTTTGAATAGAAATAGAAGACAACAGAGAAACAAACTGGCGATGGGAAGCAGAAAGGTGAGAGGAAGAAACATAATTAGAAATGGGATGAAGTGTGCAACTATGTTTACCTTTCTGCAAAGCGATAAGAAGATCAAGGTCAGAAACAGGGGGTGTGGCTGGTGTGGGAACAACTGCCAGATCTGTCGGCGGTGACGAAGCTAGAGGAGGAGCTAGTGCATGTTGTCGATGCGTATACACTTGATGGATGGGTGGCCATTCAACAGGAAGCCACACTGGAGGCAAAGACTTAGTCACAACTAGAACAAGTGGAATGGGGTCCTCAACAAGAAATGGAAGAGGAGGAGGAGGAGGTGAGGAAGAAGAAGGGGCATCACCTGACCCAAAGAAGAACGGAGTAGACTCAAAAAAAGTAACATCAGAACACACAAAGGAATGTCGAGAACTAGGGTTATAACACTTATACCATGACAAGGATGATACACTTAGTGGATCGTGCATCTAATTTGTCCATTCTAGGTCCAAGATTATGAACAAAACATACGCACACACGAAAAGAGTAAGAGGAAACGGAGACAAAGTAAGAAACAAAGTGGTGAAAGGAGAATGAACTTCAAGGATGGACGTGGGCATCCGGTTAATTAGGAAGCAAAATGTAAGCACAACATCACTCCAAAAATGTTTGGGTACATTCATATGGTGCATAAGGGACCGAGCAGTTTCTAAAAGATGACAGGTATTTCTCTCAGCTACCCCATTTTGTTGTCAAGTGTAGGTACATGAAGTCTGACGGATAATGCCATGTTGTTCTTGTGAAAATTTAAGGGAAAAAATGAATTGATTGTATTGTCTTGRAAGGAGCATATACACAACTTTATATAGAATTACAGAGCTAATTTACAGGGTGATAAAATAGGAAACTAACTTTTCCTAAAAAACTAATTTCTATATCAGTGGGATTCTCCAATTAATATCCCATDATTCWAGGAAATYAAGTTTCCTAAACTGATGGACCTAAAATTATGGAGAATCAATCAGAGAGTCAATCTTCTACTTTCCAACAGTTCTAAATACTCCTAAAATGGTGTATAAAAGTATTCCCGACCATTATTAGAATCAAGAATCTTAATGTGTATACCAAGATGGTTGCAAATTTCAACATAATTTTTTTTTTAAATGGAAAACAATTCACTCCTTTCATTAGGTAAAG